AAGGGTGGTTTAAAATGTTCACTTAAAAGTCATGTCATTGCCATAAGTGTACGAATAGCATGTTATGAAGAGTGTATTTCCAAAACAAGAGTAATTGAATAGGAAAAGTGGCACCATTTTACATTTTCCAAATCTTTTTCATGCCTCACTTAAGAGACAAAGTCAAATTCTCACATCTGCTTCTGCATTTACTATTTTGCTACATTCTTTATTTTGTAGATTCTGGGAAATACTGGATATGTGGCAGAACTGAACAAGGCCACTACAGACTCCATATTATTAAACAACGTTCCCTTTTGTAGACCCTCTACAAGTGTCAAAAGGATTTCCAGGGTTTACTAGATAAGCTTTTTAAAACTATTGTTTTTCACATACACTCCATTGCAACATACATGATTTTCTCATGTCTTTCAGTAAATAAGTTGAACAAACAATATGAGAATATATGGCATTTAGGGAAAACAGTTTGGAGAAGAATGGTAACCAGGAGATATGTGGTACCTATGAAATTCTTTCATGAACGGGTATGAAGAAGTAAATTATAAATACAGCCACTGCTGAGACGCCAGCTGCATCTCCTTTATCTTTTATTCAGTGACACAGAACAAAATGCCAATGACAGGAACATTATCACAGAGATGTCTTCAATCTGTTAGGCTCTAATTTTATCCTTCAAGTAACTAATTTGAATGTTTCAGCCTTTAATAATGGCTGGGAGCTAAATACATAAAAAAAAAACCACTCCTGATGATTTTGGAAAAAAAAACTTGCATAATACCAAAATGGGAACCAATATTTTTCAAAAACCTGGCGATGTAATAAATAGTATTTAATCAAATCAGTGATTGTCTTCACCTACAATTACAGTCAAAGAATAAATTCACTTTTTTCCTTTTTGTATGTATGTATACCTACTCCCCCCCACACACACATTTTCTCTCCTGCATACATTCATTCATCCATTAGGCATTTTTGTGGGGAACTTGTCTAAATAATCGCAGGCATTATTCCTGGCAATTGGCATATGTGTTTGCTATTTCTCCTGTTGCTATGATAAAATACCCTAATAAAAAGGACTTAAGGCAAAAATGGGGGGGGGCTCAGAGTTCTAGGGTCCAGTCCATCAGGCAGAGAAGTCATGGCAGCTTGAACTAGTCATATTGTGTCCACAGCCAGGATGCAGAAAAGGGTGAATGCTGGTGTGTGGTTCTTTTTTTTCTTTATACCTAAGGCAGGTGCCAGCTCATGAAATGGTACTACCCATATTTAGTGCAGATCTTCCCACTTTTATTAACCTAATCTAGACAATCCACAACAGGCATGCCCAGAGATTTGTCTCCATGGTAACCCCAAACTCCTGTAAGTTGACAAGATTAGCCAACATACCATGCAAATAGAACTCAAATTCTTGCCCTTGTGAGTTCTGTGCTGTGGCTCAGCGAACAACTCAACAAACATGGGTAAGTTAAATACCATACTTCTACTGCAGCCTGTGCTGACTGGTTGGCCCTGGTGGTGAGGCACAAAGCAGCATTTAAAATGTTTCCTGAGTGAAGAAGTTACAAGTGAGACAGTCAAGTTTCTCTCCACAGCTGCTCCCTTTTGTTAGTGTGTTTTAATGACTCCAGTTTTAGCTGTATCACAGACTGAGGATAATTTCAAGAAGAAGAGACGGAGAGCATGAAGAAACAAACACGAGATTTGGCTGTTGGGGTTCTCTATTCACCTGCTTCCCTAGGTGACTTGTTTTAGAACAGCACCCCTAAATAATATGGCATTACATCCATTCAACTGGATGTACACATACTGCTGTAAGTATGAAAGAGAAAATTGAAAGAATAAGCGATGTTAGTAGATAAATGATATGATGATGTAAAAAATAAAGGGAGAGGATTATAAAAATATTTGAGCATAGAAAGAGCAAGCCATTGTGGGAAAAAAGTGCATAAGGGGTGTGGAAGGGAGCAACCAGCACAGAATGGTGACTGAGACTTTGTATAGGGTATTGTGGGAACAGGAAGCTGGCTGAGAGGTCTGGGAGCTGATAAAGGAGGGTGGGCACACAAAAGGACTCTTGATTTTCCTTTGTGTTGGGAAGCCATGGGGGTTTGTGAACAGAAGAATGGTGAGCCTCACATCTTTTTTAATAGGTTTGGTTTAGAGACAATATGATTAAAGTGAACATAATAATAGTTTCCTGTGTGTACTTTGAAGATGGAAAGAGCCAACAAATTATTTGCAAGGAAAGATAGAGACACTATAGATGTGTTGGGACACAGATACATAGAAGCATTTACTGCAATGACAATGATTGTGATGGGAGGGAGCCTACTCTGAAAGAGCATTTTAGTTAGGTTGCTGAGGCTTCATTTCTGCCTTATGTGCTTCAGTAGGCCAACAGAGTAGAACTCCCACCACTTAGATGATCTGTGCCCCATCTGCACCCAAGGAGGCTGAAGTACAGCAGAAAAACGCCTTTTCCTAATAGATGCAAGGACCAGGCAGCATGTTTTTAATCTGATTCTAGCTCTCTCAAAGAAACCTTTCTTTGTGGAATTCATTTTCTAATCCAGGAAATGAATTGTAGTATGCATCCTCATGGATCCTCTACCTGAATTCAATCCCAGCTCTGAGCTATGTATCTGTTGTGTAAAATGGCAACAGGAAAAAGCCCCACACCAGGTGACTGTGGACTGGATGACTGTACCGCATGCAACCCAGGATAAAGGGTAGTTCTGTTATTGTTTCTTCAAACTTAAGTCTTGATGTAAACATCAACATTTGATATCACTTTGCTGTGACTATATACATCTACTGTAATACCACAGGGACTAAAAAAAAAAAAAGGATATGACAAGGAACGAAGCTTAAAGTTAGATGACATATCTCCCAATATCTGTACATTAAGTAAGGTTATAAAATAATATTATTTAGAAGAAAATTTATTGAAGCTTTTTTCACCAAGAGACTTTTACACATGGGTATGTGGTGATATTTCGTTTATGATCTGACAATAAAGCTTGCCTGAAGAACGGAGTGCAGAGCTAAGCCACTAGAGGCCAGGCAGTACTGGCACACACCTTTAATCCCAGGACTTGGAAAACAGAGGCAGAAGGATCTCTATTAGTTCAAAGCCACCCTGGGCTACACAAAATTGATCCAGTCTAAAAGAAAAACAGCTCACACAAAGGTGATCCAGGCAGTTGGGACCGTGTGCCTTTCATCCCAGCACTAGGGAGGTGGAGACAAGAGGGATATGGCTGGGCTGAGAGGAATATAAGACAGGAGGAGACAGGCACTCATTGTAGTCTAGGCAGTGAGTCCGAGCAGTCACTCTGAGGATGCTGTCTGTCTGAGGGTGCCATCAGAGAATGCAGTCTGAGCAACTCGCTGAGGACAGGATCACCCCTTTGGTCTGAGCATTGGTAGAGGTAAGAACTCGAGTGACTGGTGGTTCTGCTTCTCTGATCTCTCAGCTTTCACCCCCTAATATCTGACTCAAGGTTTTTATTATTAAGACCAACTAGAATTCGAGCTACACACATACGTGTGTGTGTGTGTGTGTGTGCTTCCTTAAAGAAGCCACACTTACATGGAAGATCCTGTGAACTGATTGGCTGATTAAACTTTGTAATAGTGGTACAGAATGCTGCAAACAAGAGCCAAATATTTGTGCCCCCATATAGTCACTATACTATAGTGACTATTTGCTCTTAATTCCTGTGTCATCTGACCTAACATCTTTTGTGACTGGTATGTACTGCTGAAACCTAGCTGGCCAGTAGCTTCTATCAGCCTTTTTTATTTCCCTGTGGTCCTGTATGATACCAGGGATTGAATCCAGATCATGATAGGAAAATACCCTACCTCTAGATACCTAGTTCGTTTTTCAGCCTTGAAACTAAGAACGTTATAGCATTTAAACATATAGATCTACATGCCCCCAAAGTCGTCGACCTAACCGATGTCCTATCCCTACCTAAATATTTAGTAAATACATTCATGTCTAACCTTCTCTTTTGGTGGCTATAAAAGTTTATGTACTATTTTCTAGAACAACAGATCAAGTAGACTGAATCATGTCTGGATTCACAGTTACACATGGTTGTCTCCACATGAATTCTTCCTCCCTTTGGAGCAGAGGCTGTGTTTGTCGCTATTATATTAAACACCAGAAACATATTACTTAAGTGAAACAGTTTGTGAAACCTCACAAGGCAACATTGTTGCAATCACAATGCAACAGTTATAGAAAGGAAACACTTCCAAAGATGAAAAGGCCCCACTAGTCTCCCTTGTTTAACTGCCAGTAGAGAAAATTCACTCTGTTCTGTAAAAGACCATGTGTGGGTTAAAATGAACAACGCCTAGATTTTGACGTTTAAAACTACATGCTTGCCAAAAAAAAAAAAAACCGAATCCGCGAAATTTATTCTAGATTCTTAGGACGATTGATTTCTTTTGATTTCTTTTTCTAGCTTCCTATGCTGTTCGGGTTCAAGAGACTTGATACCCCTGCAGGCCCCCTTCCCCATTAAACTTCCTAGTGAGGTGAATAAATTGGAGCGTTCCAGGGGACTCTCCAGCCCACGCCGTGCCTTTGCTGACGTCTTCTGGATAAGGAACAAGCAGTACTCTCCTAGACGGCACTTCAAAACGAAACTTAAGACTTGGCCAAGGGCTCCTTGGGGTCAGAAGCTTGGATTTCGGGAAAGCTCCTCTTCCCGGTCCTGAACGTCGTCTAGCTTCCTCCCGCAAGGCTCTCCGGTGAACTCTCGCCGTGTCAGAGCCAAGTGGTGATGAGGTCCGTCACGTAAAGAGCAAGGGAGAGAGATCGGGGCCGGAGAGCCACCCCACCGCGGCGTAGTGGCAGCGAGGTCCGCGAGCAGAGAGAGAGAGAGAGAGAGAGAGAGAGAGAGAGAGCGGACAGCGGGTTGCGGGCGCCGCGCGCGCTCGCCGCGGGGGCGTGGCTTCCGCCGGCGCGGCCCCGCCCCCTGGAGCGCCGGGCGGTCACGTGGCGGCCGCGCGCGTCCCCGTCCGCTGCGGGCTCCGAAGCCGAGGAGAAAAGGCTGCGAGGTGGCTGCGGCGGTGGCCGAGAGGTGGGCACCGGGCGGGACCGGTGGCGAGCGCGGGTGTCCGAGGGCTGCGGGACCTCGGCGGGCGGCGCTGCGACCGCGCTGGCTGCGGGGCGGCTGACGGGGTCCGCGGCGGGCGGTGGCGGGGTCGGGGCCGGTAGGACAGGGACGCCCTTGGCCAGCGCGGCCCGGACGGGCGCGCGGAGGGAGGCCGAGCTGGCGCAGCCCGGACCGTGACGGGCGCGGCCCCGGCCCCGGCCATTACTGCGCAGCGGGCTGCGGGCAGCGCCACCGGGCTCGGCCGGGCCTCGCTCGGCCACGGGCTGCATTCTGTCTTCCGCCTGCCCTGCCGCTGCCTCTGCGAGCCGCTGGGTCTTACCCAGCGCCCGGAGCCGTCCCTCCTCCTTTCGCTGGCGGAAGCCTCCGAATGTTGTTGTTTTGATGGCTACCAAAACCTGAAACCACCGGGAGGTGTCGGAATACGCGTCGGGGCCTCCCAAGCCGGGTGCATCTTGAGAGCCCCGGCTGTCGCTTTGTTCTGGTTGCTGGGTGTGGAGTTCTTTCCCTTACCCTCCAACCCATCTGAGAACGCACGGGATCCCCATTGTTGTCGCTGTCTTATTTTCCTGAACGTTTTTTTTTTTTTTTTTTTTTGAGGATGTGGAAATGGAACAGTCCTCTAATTAGGTAAGAGATTCCGGACTGTAAGTTAGCACACACATTCTGACAACTATATTTTGTCTTTTCTCCGGGTGCTGTTTAAGCACTTCTCAAGTTTTCAACATTTTATTTTCTCTTTTTTACAGCACCAAAATACTAGAGAACTTTAGGGAAGAAGAAAGCCAAAAGGAGATAGAAAAGGCTTTGTTCTTTGATTGACATTTCAGGTGCCAGGGTGTGTTCACTCCCCTCAACCCCCCCCCCCCGTGTGTGTGTGTGTGTGTGTGTGTGTGTGTGTGTCTTGTTTTGCAAACGGATGTGCACCTGAAACGTGGTTATTGAAAACCATATATTATAACAAATTTGAACACATAGAACACTTCAGTAAATAATCTCTATTAGACATTATTAAAGGACATGGCATGTTGAAAACAAATGAGGAAAATGACCCATACAAACTAGCAGTAAAGCGTCTGGGTGCTGTAAAAGCACCAGAAAATAGGTCACGTAAATCTCATTTTTAAAGAGAAAATTCAAGAATGACTGCCACACTAAAGGTAGAGTTTTGGATGTGTTTTGGTCTTGGATGTGGGGGAGTGGAACACTGGCTGGGTTTATGTCTCACGTGGGCCAGTGTAATGTGGGCAAAATGAAAACCCTTTTGCGTAAACGTTTGAAGTTTCCGTGTCTTGGTGGTGATGGTTAAGAACTGGGAAGAGTTGTAATCGTGGGAAAATGTCCCACATAGCTGGTCACTAGATGAGAGGAATGAAAACAGGTTCTTTTAGGAGACTTGTCAAGTGGGGAAGTGTCACTTTTGAATTGCTTTGTTTTTGTTTGTTTGTTTTGCCTTTTTTTTTTCCGGGACAGAGTTTCCCTGTGTAGCTTTGGGGCCTGTCCTGGAACTTGCTCTGTACCCCAGGCTGGCCTTAAACTCAAAGAGGTAGATCCAGAGCTGCCTCTGCCTCCCGAGTACTGGGATTAAAAGCGTGTTTGTTTATTTTGTTTTTAAGGATTTAAGATAATTCCTTGACTTGGAAGAAAATAATAGTAAGAACTTTTTCATATTCAGCTGCTTAAGGCACATTTTCTGTTAGGCATACACGTGTTTGAGGAATTTAACCAGTTGTTCCTGGTTCTTAGACATATTTTTTTTCTGTCAGTATTAGAAAGGAAAGGTACTGAGCCTTTTTTTCTGTCCTCCTGTCGGGTTGGGTTCTTGGTAACAGTGAATTTGCAGAACTGCTGGCTGGATTAGAAACCGTCTTTCTGAGGAAGGACACTGTGTTTACATTGGTCTACAGATTACTTTGCTTATTTATACACTCTCATTTACCTTTCTAGTTAATTAATGCAAAGCCTGTCATTAAAGGCCTGTTAATCAAAACGTTAAAATTGAAAAATCACAGAGGAGCGGGTGAAGCTGCAAAAAGAGGCCTGACTTGTCCAAGGTCACACATCTAATTAGTCAGAGGACTTCTTATTCACAGAATGGTTGCTGGCCTTGAAACATCAGTGTTTGATATGATTAAAGTATCTGTCGACATTCTTATCTCTTGAGTTATTGAAATAAATGCAAAGCCCACTTTGCAGAGAAGAAATTTAAAGATTTATACTTAAATATGAAGACTCTGAAGGCAGATGCTTGTTACATTTAACTGAAGTGTGTTTTGACATAAGACTTGTTTCCAAGTTTGACTTAGTCTTCTTTTGACAACTGATTGATGATGAAGTGCAAAATTTGATACAACAGTTACGTACCTGTGCACTTGGGAATCTTTCTTAAGAAACTTTAAGATGGGTATGTTAAATCCCACCTTACCTCTTTTTTAGTGTTTATAATAATATGTATTTATTATATATAAATGGGTATAGATAACTGAGGTTTGAAGTGGACCCCCCCATCTTGATACCTTTTTGTAATTTGACTAAAGAGTAAACTGTTTCATTAAACCTTAACTTTAAATAGGAAAACCAGAATTTGTTCAATAGTGTATACTTTGATATTTATAGTTTTATTCATAATGTTTTTATATGTTCATCTTTCTCTTTTATTTTTTTTAAAAAGGCCAATATTTTATTATCTATTACTTAGGGACAGTGGACTTTTAAAAAATTTAACTGACTTGAAAAATGGGATTGCTGTTAATCCTATATCTTTTCATTAGGAATTAACAGTGTATTCAAGTAATTGTAGTGTGAATTATTTTAGTGGTTGCCATATTTAAGTAATACAATATGACTTTATTTTTCAGTTCTTTTTTATTTTAGTGGTTACCATATTTAAGTAATACAATATGACTTTATTTTTCAGTTCTTTTTAATTTAACGGATTAATTGATAAAGATCTAAATTCATTACTAATCTATAAACTTCATATAAATTTAGTCTGTCACTTTTTTCTACACAATTGCTAAGAGGCAAATAACCTTGTTTCTTTTCTGTTTTTGTTACTTTCTTAATTAGTATTTAGAGTTTGGTGTATAATTTGAAAGTTATTGTAGGAAGAATTATGTATATTTGAATCATACATGTTCACTAAATTATTTCTAGCTTGAAATCACCTCTTCTGCTTTAAAAAATCCTCTTGATTAAAATAAGAACACCTTTATGACTTTAAAAGCATCTTGTTTGAAGTAATGTGAAAATTATTTTCTGATGTCTTCATATTGCCTCTTCTGAGTGTTACATGTATGTCTTATTTTTTACCTTTTGACATTGCTGTTTGCAAGATTATAGTCAATGAGTAAGTTTGGCAGCCTCACCTAAACCTGTCCACTTTGATCACAACAGAATATAAACAGTTTGGTTTGTGTTGGTTTTGTTGTTTGCTGTGTTCAGCAAAATAAGCTATCCTATAGAGTTCAGTTTTTCTGTTCATTAATTATTTTTAACTGTCAGTTTTATCTTTTAAGGGAGGTGTGTGCATTAACACAGAAGACTTTGTAGGTCCAATTTGATGAGGATGGGAAAGACTAATGAGCCACTTAGTTATTCAGCAGCTCTAAGTTGTGCTGAATATAAAGTATATGTGGATTTTAGTACACACACAAATGGAAGGTGTTCCATTAATGATTTTATATTGGATACATATTAAAATAGTAATGCTGTAGATGCATTGAGTTATATAAAATGGAATTTTCAAATTAATTTAACCTGTTTCTTTTTATTAGCTTTAATTCACCTAGTAGAAAATTGGAAATTAGATACTGGCTTGTTTTTTAAATAGAGTTAGTTTCCCTAAGAGAAAGATTTTTTTTTTGTGGTGCTTCTTTTTTTCTTCTCTCTCTCTCTCTCTCTCTCTCTCTCTCTTTCTTTTTCTTTTTGTCTTTTTTTCTTTGAAAGAGAGTGTGTGCTTGTTTGTTTGTTTTGAGATAAAGCCTCATTATGTAGCTCAAGCTGGCCTGGAACTCCTGGCAATCTTCCTGCTTTTGCCTTTTCAGTGCTAAAACAGCTTTAAAAAAATTTTTTTTGAAAAAAAGAGATGTAGTATGCTTGAATTTGAATGCCATCTCAAAATGTCAGTAGCTTTTTTACTTTGAGTAAGCCACATTCCTTTTGAGCTTGTTGTTCTTTCTCTGTAAATTATGCAGTCCCACCCAGTTCCAAGGCTGTTTGGAGGATGCACTGACAGGTTGACCTCCCAGTGCTTTGTGGACTTGAGGACTTGAGTGTGCACATACATAACCCGGAGACCTGATTCTGGTCTGGATTCATACAGTTGTTTCCAAGGAACCTTCTGGTAGTACAGTGCTAGGCATTTTAGTTTATTTTCCTTCCCCAAATTTTACTGTCCATTTGTCTTAACTTTGAAAGTTCTGTGAGATACAGAATGGGAAAAGTCACTTAGGAAGTGTATGCACTAAGCCCTCATAGAAATACTATGGACAAGAGACCTTCTTACGTCTGTAAAGCTATTCCGATTTGGCTGGGGTCATGTTTGTTGATGGGATACTTTGGCACAGTTGTATCTGAGAGTCAAGGGTTTTGAAAATAAAGGCATAGTTAGAAGTAAAATAATTTTAAGAGTGCACTGAATAAATAAGGGTAAGTTAGGGTAGCACTTGAGTTTGTCCTATTATTAAAGATCTTTGGAGGAAGAATAACAGCCAAAATTTAAAACTTGTTGAAAATTATTTCTTAAAGTCTTACCTTCTATTCTTTAGGCCATAATAAAAATGAGAAAGAATGTCAAAAAAAAATCAGGCAACGTAATGTATTTTAGCTGAGAGCACATTAACTATTAACTGGTGGGGAATCATTCTGCCAGACTACAGCCTTCTTAGGTGTCCAAAAAAAAAAAAAATGACCGGAAGTGTCCAAACACAGCAATTCTTAACGATTTATATGAGTTATTTTGCAAC